TGTGTGTGTGTGTGTGTGTGTGTGTGTGTGTGTGTGTGTGTGTGCGCGCGTGTGCGTGTGCGTGTGCGTTTGCGTGCGCGTGTGCGTGTGTGTGCATGTGCCGTACCCCTTCGTATTCCGCATTCAACTCCTCTGGATTCGTCAACATGTCAGGGTAGCCGATTCTTTCGTTCATCGCGTTTGCCTGCAACAAGCAATCACCGTAAATGTTTTCTCTCTATCTGGGCAGCAACATAGACTCGTTTATCTTTCTACATAAACTTTCTGCCTTTTCTCGGCGCCTAATAAATGCTTTATCACTGCGCTTTGTTCTTTCTGGGTTTTTCCTAGGTTTGTATCAAGGTCGAACTGCCTTCCCTTTCTGCTTTAACTTTGTGCTTTCCCTTGACGCGCAACGTCTCGTGATGCGAAGAGATGAAATGAGAATAAACACGCATACAGGTGCATAATGTATAATAAAAGCCCGATGCGGGTGTAGACATTCGGGTTTCATTTGGGATCATAGATGTTATGTTATATAGACATCGTCTAATCGGCTAAAATCTACATTACGCTTGGTTGTTACGGCTGACCGTGAGCTCAGCTAAACCGGTAGGTGTTCATGTCATAGTAGTACCAATAATGCTTGAAATTATTGTTGCAAATTGTAAAGACTAGACCCGCGAAATAAAGAATTTTGGAAAAAATTATCTTAATTATCATAATCATTATTTGATTTGCTTTAGACCTGAGAAAAAAACGTGTGAAATCTCGTGACGACCCGATTGAAACTGACTCCATGCTTAAATGCCAACATCACCGGCCGATCGGCTAATTCACTATATAAATAGTAGAATACCACGAACAAATTTTAGCATTGTCTGTACGTGTCTGTTTTCGCGTGTTTATTTTGTTTTTATGCACATCAAGTGTTTGGGATCGAACATGTCAATAATATTTTTCGTTTGAAAATCTCCACGGCGGTCTTCCATCCACTCGTTGCCTGCTGCACTCTGCCCTATATTATTTCAACAACTGCTTGTCACATCCTTGCTTCACCGACGCCCGACTGCTATACTCTACCTATTTCTGCTGGTTCCGCATCCCGTCCTTCCTTCTGCGGCCAGGCCATCTCTCCAGCTACACACCAAATCCCCGTAGCCTATATCTCCCCTTATCTTGTCACACACAGAGCGCTTCACCATAACACATTCACGTGATCTTCCTTTCTTGGTTATCACGTCATTCACCAATTGATCATCTCCGCACACGTATTGTTTTTGTTTCGCGCATCTTATTGCGTATCGTCTCCTCGTGTTTAGTTGCGCCCGGATTATGCGACACGTGGCTTCCCCCGCGCGTGGCTTATACCTTCTCCTCGGCTACAGCACGCGTGTCCTCTCCCATCCAGTGGTTCTCTTGCAGTAGCTCGTTGAACGCGCTGCGGATGTTGTGTATCATCTCCAGAGCCTACCGGAGCAGAGTATCAGCATGCGTATTGTAACAGACAGCATTGCGAAAGAATATACCATATTGCCTGCGGCAAAGATCGTGTTGACCGACGTTGTGAGACCGCGGCAAATGCAATATTGTTTTCGTTGTGAAGCTGGCCGTATTAACTAATCGAACGACAACGTGTTACATCACTTTGCGCACTTAATTCATTGTCTATCTAAAAACGGTTAATATTCACCACCGCTGTTTATTCGTGCAATCGATCTACTTAAGTACGTTATACACTGTACTGAATCATTCGCATCGCGTATAGCCACGCACGCGTGAGCGCAATCGCAGGCACGCGATTCGAACGATGCTGCACCACTCTAGTTGACACTGACAGGGCTTCAACCGTCTAAAATCTTCAATTAATTAGCTCTATTAGCACGATATGATAAACTTGACCGGAACAAAAAGTATGATTTAGATGCGTAATAGCGCAGTTTATGCTGTTTTTGAGTTTCCGATGAGGCATGGCTCAACTGTTTCTGTTTTACGCAGATAATTAACGTTCACGCCTTCGATGAAGACATAACCCCGTGTGTGGTTGCTCGCTTGCAAGATACCAAGTCACTGACCGTGTCCTTACTCTCCTTTGGAAAGTTTTCTCGTACGAACAGCGCGCCGAGTGCCAGTCCCATTGCTTCGTTGACGAAGCCCACGCAGTGCTTCCAGCGTATAGTTGGCGCCAGAATGCCATTCTGAACCTTCTGGAATTCCATGTAGGGGCCCTGGTATTTGTTTGGAAGCTGAGGCAAAATCTTCATGATGAGGAACCATATGGCGTAGTTAGTCAAGACCCTGTCACAGATACGAGAAGAGCAAAATTAGTTTGCGGTTACTACTCCAAACTATCTTGTCGTACATCCACATGTCCGCCCGTCCCTCCGTCCGTCTGGCTATGGGGTTCCTTGCCGACAATCTAAAAAATTCATCAATATACTCATCTATCACATATTCGTCTATTTATCTATCTGTCTATTCATCTATCTATCTATCTCTCTCTCTATCTATCTATCTATCTATCTATCTATCTATCTATCTATCTCTCTCTCTATCTATCTATCTATCTATCTATCTATCTATCTATCTATCTATCTATCTATCTATCTATCTATCTATCTATCTATCTATCTATCTATTTATCTATCCATCTATCTATCTATCTATCTATCTAGCTATCTAGCTATCTAGCTATCTATCTATTTATTTATCTATCTAGCTATCGATCTATTTATCTATCTATCTAGCTAGCTAGCCATCTATCTACCGATCTATATATATATATATACATATATATATATATATATATGTATCATATATGTATATATATATATTCATCTACCATACCTCCTGTCGTACTGCTGTATAAGCGTGTTCAATGCTTTCAGATAGGGTTCCGAGTACACTACTATTTCCTCTGATGACGTCAGCGGCTCCACCACGAAATGCATTAGGTATTTCAACCAGTTAAACTGCAAGATATTAATGCATCTTGTAAAATAAAATTCTTATCTTATTTATTATGATCAGAATATTAATTACTAATTCATAAAATTAAAAATACATCACGGACGTCGACCTCGACCTAAAAGATTTATTTTATATTGATATATTATATTATATTATATTATATTATATTATATTATATTATATTATATTATATTAAATTATATTATATTATATTATATTATATTATATTATATTATATTATATTATATTATATTATATTATATTATATTATATTATATTATATTATATTATATTATATTTATTCAGTTAAGTTTGTAATGGGCAAGAACATTGAATCAGTTTCTCCCTCATCGATGTATATGCCGCCGTGTAAGCGCGTGTTTTAAAAATCGTGCCTGGTACGCGGTTATTACAGACAAGAGCGCTGGTGGATAACACTAACTTCTTGCAGTCAGGAGCAGCACGTAGATTTTACGCTGTGGCTGCATTATATTTTTACCACTCATCTCTCGTAAACGGATGGAATTTAACAACGGCTGTTAAATGTCACCAGACGGCAGTGCGTCCGTGAATACATACCCTGGGTACCATACTCTGCAGGTTTCCGATTGTCATGTTGTTATAGATTAGTCCCTGGTCGTGCCTCTCCGCTTGTGGTACGGTGATCTTTAAAATTTAACGAAAATGTAATATGACTACGCCGGTAAAGTGCAGGTGCTAGATAAATGGATGATCGACCGTGTCATGTTGGCGAGCGCCCGCTAACAACTCGTGCCTGGTCACCGGGGTGCACTTTTATGCCCGTAAAGCCCACACGACGGTGAAAGCATTTGCAAGCGTTTTTTCCCCCGGTAGCTACCTGGCATATAATCGCGCGCGTTGTCAAGCGTAAAGCTTTATAGATGATAGCTACTGTGCGAGCTAACAGCCTCGTCTAACGCAACATGCTCACTGCGACGTATCGTTTGTCATGCAAATTCTCCACGAGGTTTACCGGAACATGAAGCAATAGACACATTCATAAGGACTCGCGGGAGTCGTGATGGGCGGCCGGCGGAGTAAGGAGGAAGCGCGCCTCTAATGGCTTTTCCGCTCTCGAGTCATTCGTTATCGCGGATTTTACTTCACGCAGCAACCGAATACACGCGTACATTTGCGAGTTCGATCTCAAAGTCGAGTACGTTCTTCATCTGAGTCTCGGCGTAGCGTCTGTCAGCGCCGAGCATTACGGCAACATCGACCATCAGCTTGTAGTATGCGTCGAGCAGCTCCTGCCCTTCAGGTCCGGACAGATAATATTCGCGGCTAGGTAGAGTGAGTCGCCCCGGACCAGGCTGATCGATCTGTGATTCCGAAAACAAAAAAGAATTAGTGCAGTAATGGGTTAATGTAGGTAGGATCGGTGCGTTGGGTTAAAGCAGCGTCCTGCTATTGACAACGGTGACTATAATATGTAAAATCCGATGTAATTTATGTATCGCGATTACTATCATCGCGATTCGACGTGTGTGACAACTGTTGTAAGGGTGACGACGGTGATAGGGACCACGCCGTGAGTGATGGCGACGATGACGATACCTGTATTATATTGACTGACGAGTTTTTATCGTCGGGTCCGATCCACTGCTCTAGGACTACCGGTAGATTAAAACTCCCCCTCAGCTCGCCTGCGAACACATTCCATATATTACGTTAGCTAGCCGACAGAATTACGCGACGCTTATTGGTTCGTTTTACTACAGTTCGATTTGTTTTGCTGCGCACTCGGCTACAACGCTAGCGCAATCTATTCTGATCTTTCGGGAGGAAACACGATTCAAATGCGTACGATTAACGTGCATTTCGTTTGATGGTCAGATATCATGTCTGCTTTCATAGTAGGTAGCAAGGCGTTTTTTGATACCACCATGTACGTGAAGCCATCTTCATCATGTAAAGCAAAATTACATTCGTCTTCGGATTCCTTTACTTGTGGCGCACAATTAATCGACCGTGATAATTACCGTTTGTAATTAATGAACGTTTCAACCCTTATTCTGCATTTCGTTCGTTTCGACACTATCTACTATGATATATGACGATTAGAATATTTATGGGAAATGCGTAATTGAAAAAGTCTCGTCTATTTAATTTAACAATTCTGAGAAATTCGTTCAACGTAAATCTCCCACCAAGTAGTAGCTCCAGCGACCAGTCGGGGTTGTGCCACTTTGGATCCAGCACGGGCCAACCTCCTAGTTCCCTCAGGACTCGCTTAAGAGGGTTGTCCGCAATTATCTCACTCGCACCTAAGCAGATGGACAACGCCGCACGATGTGAGGAAATCATTATCGGAAACCTTGTGCGGTGTTCGGCACGTTAAAAGTGACTCCGTTATCTGTTTTTTTAGATTTAGGCAAAAAAATTTAGCCGCTAGCTCAGATGTAAGCATTACTTACAATGTTATCCACTGCAATGCATGCTATTACACTAGTGCGGCACATTAATTCAGTTACGTCCCTCCAACTGCTTTTCGCCGACTATAGATAGATTTCAGCGACACGATCTGCGCATGCGCAGAACGCAATAACCGTAAATATGCGGATTTTATTCAATCACTCTGTCTATCGTGGTTTGAAAATCTATAGGATGAGAAACGTTTAAACATAAAGTTTTAGCGACAGCGCGGCAAGTTTAGAGTCGGTGCTATTCACCCATTCATATTTATTCATAAGATAATGATTGAAAGAGTCGGTGAACGTGTAAATGAATGAGCGAGTGAACGAAAAGGTTATGCAAATGATAACATTGGTAGAGCCTTGTTGAAAGCGGTTTCCAAGCCGGAATGTAGTCTTCGCAGTTATATTTATCAGAGTCAATATATAGATAACTGGCTCAAACGTTCAGTAGGCTGTTATACTTACTCTTGTTTATACACGATCGATACAAAACTTTAGCCTTTTTAGTCGCTTCACTGTCAACGGGCTTTAAGCCCTCTTCTAACAAATCTGCAAAACCAAGTGCAATTCACTATTAAACTTTCTCGTTTATTTTGTGCATAGCTCAATGTTTGCGTTTATTTTTTCAACCGGAACTGGTGGAATGTCAGACGAAAATATCAAGAACACACTTCATGCCACTTAATTTCTCTGCACGACGGCGTCACTACAATACAGCATTAACTTTCTCATATAAGCGCAGTTTGCGCTATTAATTTTCAGTTCGGTTTAAGCTGGTCGTTCGATCAAGATTCCTATGAAAAACATCGCAATCTATAGTATATTTACTTCTTTAATTAACTGCCCTGTCGCTGTTTGTCTGCTCCCTATCCGTCTCCCTCCATTCTCTGTCTCTGTGTTTCTCTCTCGCGCGCGCTCTTTCTCTCGTTCTCTCTCACGCATTTTTTTTTAGCTTTCTCCAACTAGCTCGATCTCTCTCTTGCGCTCGCGCGCGCGCTCTCTTTCTCTCTCTCTCTCTCTCTCTCTCTCTCTCTCTCTCTCTCTTCCGTGCCTCTCTCTTCACTCAATCTCCCTCACTAATTTCTCTCTCTTTCTTTCATCGCATCATCTCAGAACTATCCTCCCTCGTTTTATTCCAGCATCACCTTTTAATAAGATGTCGAGCTTTTCGCTGAGTACTTCAAACGTGCTAATACTGCTCTTGTCGTCGGGAATGGTGTGCAGCCGGTTCCACGAGCCGCAAGCGAACTGGTAGAAGTCTTCACATGGGTCAGCCAGCGGGTCCATCGCTGCCAACAACGAGGCGGCTGCCGGACAAAGAAGTGAACATCGTGGCGGTGAAATACGAAAGCGTTGCTTGAAAGAGCGACGAAATGTAACAGGAATCATCACTCAGTGTGGAACATGCAGTGGCTAGGGGATTAAGGCCAATGGGATTAGTTCAGAATGAGGTAAAATGAAAAGGCAAATGAGAGTGAAGCAAAGTCGTGAAGCATTCTGACGTTCTTCAGTACAAAAATACGGTTTAATTAGTTACTGGTTTTTTTTTTCTTTAGAAACACGCGCACGCAATTATGGCCATGCGCTATTCCTTTGGTCTCCTTAGAATTTCTCCTAATACGGCGATTTTCAACGGTGACAAAAGCAAGTACCCTCTATAGAACATTGCTCGCAGACGCGGATTACAGCCACCGACACTCATAAGATATTCTCATTCTAGGTAAGTGAGCGCGGCTATCTTAGCACAAACTCTATAGTGTCTCTCAAGTCGAGAGGCAAATCATTTTCACGCGGCAATGTGTTTATTTGCGTTGCCGCGGCAGTTATAACCCCTGGGCGGAAAACGCCACCGGCGCTACACACGGGAGACCTTATAGCTCAAGTATCTTCAGTATCAACACGGTTTACGCGCGAAGTGGCTTATCTCGTTGCCAACACAGTAAACGTTTGATTTTAGTAGGCGATTGTCTATCTGCGGAACGTGGTGAAATGGGGCCTGCCACCGGAGCGGTGATGTGGCATGAACGAGATATCTGTCGCACAGTAGGACGGCATCGGCAGGCAACAGGAGTATTGTATAATAATTACCATACAATTCACGAAGACAATTCGCAAGCAGTTCGCATAGACTCTAATGCATGCAAAGGTGACCCCCAATCGCCCAAAAGTTTGCACAATCGCCATTGTTATCCCAAATAAAACCATCATCAAACTATTGAAATAAGTATAAGGGGAACTGGTTGTTCACACGCAACATTAATACTGGAATGTCTACGCGGAGATAATTGGGGGTAGGAAGTCACCTTGATTTATCCAGCTTAAGAACTACACCCCGCAAAGCCTACCCTACCGCTTTGTTTAATTATATTTCATTAGTTATTTAAGTTCTCAATGAACAAATTTGCCATATATAATTCTCATCAGCTCGTGCTCTTAGTGTAAACCGCCTGTAGCTCAGGCAACGGACAACTAGCGGATAAAGCAGTTATATAATTAGCATGTTACGATTAAATAGCGTATAACTTAGGATCATTATTGGTTATCATTGATAGCCGGCTAGGATAAGCGTGCGCATGTGCGAAGCCCAATTTCATCTTAATAATAGGAACTTCGATTAAACTTTCGAGTGAATTTTGCCGCCCCTCACAAAAATCGGCGCTCCAGCCGATAGCGCTCTACTGCTAACTGTCGATCTCCTTGCAACGTTGGCCAGAGCCGCCATCCCAGCGATCGTTATAGCTCGCCAGGCATCATATTTACCGAAGCGCTGTCCGTAACCCGAAGCAAGTACGAACCTGCTTTAAACTAACGATTAATATGGTACTGATAATAATCTTAGGGAAGACCCAAAGCATGAATAAACACGCAGAGTCACCACGAGTGTGTGCATACGGCGTAACGCAATTAACGAGGGGGTAAGATTCTTTGCCGCATGCACGCCTGCGGTGCGACACTTGTTGCTTATAAATGCTATAGGAAAATTATTTCCTAAATAACCACCATGAACAAAGTATGTGATTATTTAGATTAATAATAAGATGGAGCGATGAAAGATTGGCAATTATTTAACGAAGCTATCGCGGCAGTAGAGAATAGTATGTTTGTTTGTTACCTGTATTTACACAGTTTGCTGTAAGGCAAATGTTCTTTGGCAAATCTGAAAGTGCAATTGATAACAAATTACAGGTGACCACGAACAGGCTTTTATCGCAAATATGAGGAAGTGAATAATTTAACGAGCTTAAATTGCCTCTTATATTACGCGTATAACACGCGCGCACACAAGCCCAAGCGCATTTAACAGATTTCTACAAATCTATCGATTTCTAAACCATATAACTCGGGATTTCGAAAGAGACGTAACCGCTTTCTTGCCGACTGTCCTCGTTTTAATCAGCACTACCATCGCGCTCGCCACTCACCTGAAGTTCGTGTAAAGGCCGCAACCAAGACCAGGGCCACGCAGGCAACAAACAACAATATCACAAGGAGAATTAGGTATTTCTCGGTGTTCGTTCTTCGGCGAAAAAACGACGGGCCGATCACTTTAACGGTGACGCCGCCATTGCGGTCCATGTCCGACGCCATGCACTCCGGCAGCATGCCCCCGTTGCGGCCCTCAACCCGTTTATTGGGTGGCACATCCTCTTCCATTGTCTCGTGAACGGGCGCGATGACACTTATGTGACACTGACGACACTTCTCTGATGAGAAACTCGGCGGAAGATTCGGTCTATTGCACTGACGCTAGAGGGAGCTTCATTCAAACCTGGAAAAATAAATTAAATATCGGCGAATTTGACGGACAATCTTCAGAATGAGCTTTTCGTGCTGACTGCCACTATAGTTTTTGTGAATCTCTGAAAGACCAAATGTGTGCCCGCCACAGTCTGATTGATTTCTGAAATCAGGTGATGTTGTTCCACCGATGAAATTGGTGTGAGACTCCGTCGCGCTTTTCAAAGTCTTGTGACTTTATCTGAAATTCCTGGCTCTTCGAGAATATCCAGTGAAAAGTGTTATTAAAAAGAATTACCTTGGTCGCAATAAAAAAACTCAATAAAGTTAATGGGCTTCGAGAAGTGGCGGCCGTGACGTCAGGAATATAACTGCTCATTTCCTTTACCAAGGCGGTCGGAAAAAAGCTAGCGCCGTAATTTGCAATGAGTCTACACATGTCTTATGTCTTATTCGTGTGATAGGAGAACTGCCAAGTGTCTAACCTTGCCACGTAACGGCATTTCCGTTCGCTATCGCGTTATTGTGTGGACTCTATAGATCTGCTTACATCTTGGTTAGAGCGGTTAGTGCATGACATGTTTGCCTTCCTCGAGCACAAGCCGAGTCGATGGAGCAAATAAAGCATGCGGTGTTTACGGTGTGGCGTACTAGATCGTGCATGGCGGAGCACGGCAGCGCCATCATAGGTGTGATCACACCTGCGCGAAACGCATTCATGTAACAATGACACGCGAGCGTACAGCAACTCTCGCTATTGATTGCCAATGAATTTCGCGCGTCCGATAATCTCATAAATTGCGAATACATATTTCAACACGAACTAGTAACATTTCGCCGATGCAGTTGATCAACAGCGCACTAGGATGAGTGCACGGAGTTTCTAGAGCTCCGGTGGTGGCTTATTATATCGGTGAATACACGGTAAGGAATGGAAATCGATGGAGAATGAAATACCATAGGATAAATTGATACGCATAAAATTATATATTTCCAGTCGTCGACCGCATTTTGCTCCTAGCTGCAACGGGTGGTATAGATATAATATACATGTATATTGTGTAATGCACGAGGCAAGTGAGATGATTCTCTCACTCTGGAACCTAGAGTTGAAGCAGATCATACTAATAGGTACACATTAATCATATCTGTTCCCATTTCCTCATATCATGTTTGAAAGATTCTACGGATATACATTATGCTCTAGACAGACAGGCAGTGCGTTGCGATTGATCGCCTTTGGCGCAAAACACCACCTATTATACGATACATCGCTACTGCTTTCTTATCTTTTGTAGCTTTTCACTAGTGCGTATAAAAGTTTATGAGCGCCACGGCCCAGAGTGAAGAAAGAAAAAAGAAGGAGAGCGAAAAAGTGTGCGTTTTTCTGTGCTCCAAATCAGTGATGAATGAGAAAGTGAGGCAGAGAAAGGCCGATAGAAGGGGATGGGGAGATGTGAATTGATAGAAGGAATGGGAAGGAGGCAGGAAGCAAAAAAAAGAGAGGAAGAGGGATTCAATTTCATTTCCCTTTGGATCGCTTATATCGACCACCCCTCTTCCAAACACAGCTTCCGAGAGCAATTTTCTCTTCAACATTTCAGAATCGCTGATGTAAGTCTAGCCAGGGAACAATCAACATACTACGGTCGCTCCTTTTCAACACCACCAACAACAATACAGCAAATACTTGAAGCAATTATCCCACCTAAAGCCATGAATTTCCATTCTCGGCAGAATGTGCATGCCAGCTCCTAGGTGAAACACCGTTAGCAAACATTACTATAACAGCTTACGACACACTAGTATCGCATGTTCTCTGATTCGTCTTCGTACGGCCATTACAGCATTCCGAGAATACTGCTGTCATTATCAGTAAAACTATAAACATCTTTCGCTCTATAAATAATACCATAGATATAGCAGACAAAAATTCTTGTTGTTCTAGTGCTATGCTTTAAGAACAAGTATAATAGCATGTCTGAATCACGGTCCTCGATGCGTGAATATATATAATCGGATAACCAAACACACACACACGCACGCACGCGCGCACTCGCGCGCACACACACGCGAGCACACGCACACGCACGCACGCACGCACGCACGCACGCACGCACGCACGCACGCACGCACGCACGCACACACACACACATACATATATATAACTATATATATATATATTATATAATGTATACATGCACACAGCACACAGACACACACACACACACACACCACACACACACACACACACACACACACACACACATACACACATCACAACACACACACCACACACACTACACACACACACATAAACACACACACACACACATACACACACGCATGCACAGACACACACACAGTCACACACCACGCACACCACGCACACGCACCGTACACGCACACGCCACCACGAACACCGCGCACGCGCACGCGCAACGCGGCACGCACGACGGCACACGCACACACCCACACGCCCACGCACACAACACACACACACACACAACATATATATATATATATATATATATACACGTGCACGCACGGCACGCACGCGACGCACCCACACATACACACACGCATATAATATATATATATATATATATATATATATATATATAACGATAATATATAAGGTAATCGAGTGAATCGCTAGAATATGCAATACTGCTGTAGAACATACGCCCCAGACATAATGCCGTAGCCGCTTGACCCGAATCAAAACAGAACACGCACCTGGAGCACGGAGCAGGAGCATGCACTAACGTCAAACCATTAACAGCTCCTGTAATCCGACGGGCCCTTTGTGAGCACCAAATGCTCGCCGTTAATACGCCTAGGCGTCTATGAGACGGCAGAACTCATTTGCGGCGCATTTATTTGCAATGCAAACAACTGTCAGCTTCCACTACTCGCAAACTGATAGGAAATCCGCAAAGTAAAATATTTACGTTTAGCTGAGCACACACGTCGGGTGACGTGTGTGCATCTTGCGCGAATTCCCGTGTCATCATCAAAGTGAGTTTGCTTCTGCGAGTGTGACGCCGCAGCCGCCGTCGCCGCCGCCACTATTTCGACCGAATATTCCGCCCCTCGAGTCGCGCGTGAGGCAGCGGTGTATGGCTCGCGCGGGGTAGCGAGACCCGTCTGACTGCTATGCCACACTGTAGGACAGAATCTGAATAAGGTGGCGAATAATAGCTTCCGTTGTGGGATCGCTTATAGCCGAAATGTTCGCTGGCGGTATTTCGTCTGCCGGGGAGCGTGTGTTGCTGCGCATGCGCGCATGATGGGATGTTCGGTGGTGGTATTTCGTTTGCCGGGGAACGTGTGTTGCTGCGCATGCGCGCATGATGGGCATTTAATTGAGACGAAGACGTGTTGTCTCAATCCACGAACAGTGTAAACAGGAACGAGCAACCTATATAGAAAGAAACGGCGGATGTATGTGTGTAGGGGGAGTATGTGTGTGGGGGGGGGGAAGAGCGAAACTATATAGAGCGAGCCCACTAATCACTGAACCTCGATAGAGTCCCGATCAAAGCCGTAAATTTCGGTTTCGTTGCTTATGGAATAGCGATCCGGAACGAAACTGTGGGCACGCATGACGTCGCACATTTCTGTTCCATAATTGCCGTCGCGTCGTGTTTTTTATTCCTTCCTCAACCACGACGTCGCCCTTGTCAAACACGACGTCGCGCATTTTCAACCACGACGTCGCCCTTTTTCAAACGCGACGTCGCCCTTTTTCAACCACGACGTCGCCCTTTTTCAACCACGACGTCGCCCTTTTTCAAACGCGACGTCGCATTTTTCAAAAGCGACGTCGCCCTTTTTTAAACACGACGTCGCCCATTTTCAAACGCGACGTTGCCCTTTTTCAAACGCGAGGTCGCCCTTTTCAAACGCGACGTCGCCCTTTTTCAAACACGACGTCGCCATTTTTTTAACCACAACGTCGCCCTTTTTCAAACACGACGTCGCCCTTTTTCAAACGCGACGTCGCCCTTTTTCAAACACGACGTCGCCCTTTTTCAAACGCGACGTCGCCCTTTTATAACCGTTTTCCATAAATGAAATCGTGCGGCGTGCGGCCCATCTGAAACACATATGCACCACTAATATCACCGTGAATCTCAATAAACATATTACACAACTCCTCAGCACACACAAAAGAATCAACACCCACTTCACATATGCACCACTAATATCACCGTGAATCTCAATAAACATATTACACAACTCCTCAGCACACACAAAAGAATAAACACCCACTTCACATATGAACGCAAGCACACACGTACGCACACACTTGTACGTGCGCACATGTACGTGCACACGCACGCACGCACGCACCCATACACGTTGACGTGCACACGCACGCACGCACGCACTCACGCACGCATGCACACACGTGTACCGGTACACGCACACACGCACGCATGCACGTGCACGTTTACACGCACGCACACACGCACGCATGCACGCATGTGTACGTACACACGCTCGCACGCACATACGTGTACGTGCAAACGCACGCACGCCCGCACGTACATACGCACGCATTCACGCACCTGTACGTGATAAGCAAGCACGCAAGCACACACGTACGCATGCACGCACGGGTACGTACACACGCACCCACGCACGCATGCACGCACGAGTACGTGCACACGCACGCACGCACGCACGCACATGTACGTGCACACGCACGCACACACGTGGACGTGCACACCCACGCACACACGCACGCATGCACGTACATGTATGACCACACGCACGCACGCACGCACTTGTCGTGCCACACGACGCACGCACGCACTTGGTACGTGCACACGCACGCACGCACGCACACACGTGGGACGTGCACACCACGCACCCACCGCTATATATTGTCAGCGCGATATAGGTGGTGGTGTACACAGTACGGGGGCTCTTCTGCAGGTCATACATGTACCCTACATACATACATGAATTCACAATAAACATATTACATAACTCCTGAGCACACACAAAAGAATCAACACCCACTTCACATATGCACCACTAATATCACCGTGAATCTCAATAAACATATTACACAACTCCTGAGCACACACAAAAGAATCAACACCCACTTCACATATGCACCACTAATATCACCGTGAATCTCAATAAACATATTACATAACTCCTCAGCACACACAAAAGAATAAACACCCACTTCCCCCACTCTATCCCTGGTATGGTGTGCATCTGGGTACGCGGATAATCTTCACCTCTGCAGATGTGCTGCCCTCCAGCGGCAACTGTTTCTAGCGGCTAACCCCATTGTCACTAAAAACAAGAGAGCAGAAGTATTCTTTACACAGCTCGAGCTCATATACGTAATCCTCGTTTACAATTATAATTTAAATATAACGAAACAATATTGAGGGATCTATAGATAGACCTATGCTATAGTCAAGAGAACGTTCATTAGTATTACACAAATTTATATACATTCATTCATGGTATAGATATGGGAAGACAGGCACATGCAAATCTTGAACGAAAATGTCAAGGCTGTTGATTTCAAAAATCCCCAATTTTATCATAAATTAACTAGACCGTACAATCCATATTCTGTATATAAATACTGTGCAAAGCTGTGAAAGCAAATTTTTACTTGTTTTCATGTATGCTAGGAATTGGATAAATATGAAAGTAAATAGACCCACAGGTCATAATGGTAACACTTACCGCAAAAGAATTCTTGTTAGGGAACAGGAGGTTGTCGTTGGTGAAGAAGTTTGTCTTTGAAACGGACAAGTAAGCGTAGTATAGGGCGCAAAAGCAAAAACACAATCAGAAGAATGAGGCAATTATGCGAGCGAGCGTAAAATTGCTCGCAAAATGTACCATACATGTGCATGTGTGTGTGTATGCACCCATGTGCGTGTGAGTGCACTTCTGAGTATCTGTGGATATGCATGAAATTATCTATATGCTTAGATTACAACCTCGTCGTTCTTTGCGAGTTCGCAAGTTTGCACGGTATAAACGAACGTTTTACTATCGAGTAATGAAGCAATTAGTACAACAATAGAAAACCGTAGGTGCTCGAACCAGCTTTTGCCGTCTAAAGCCGTTTAATTATAATTATGCACTAGATCACTACGCTGTTTAGTAGAAACCTGTGTGTACGCACTACGCAACAGCAAAGCTATTAAAATCGAAGGACTCAATAAATTCGTTCAATTATATCTGATTGATCATACAGGGCACATTATTGCATAGCCGAGCTGTTCGTATAAGGTTGCCCGGGTGGGCCGAAGATGTCACCACGCACCTTGGTCACCACGAGGTACTGCCGGTAATTTAATTTGTCGTTGCGCGATGTAACTGCACGGCCTTATGTCCCATCGGGGGACCAAAAGGATAAGCAAGCAAGCAAGCGATGTAACTGCGGCTAGTTCGCGTCTATAAACGAAGGTGACGCCCGTGCAAGTAATCACACGCGGCGTTCGCGGGCCATCGACCAACCCACTACTGACGTGATCACTCTTGTCGCACGTGTTGACACACCTGCACGCCAGCTTCAGGCTCGCGGAAATAATTTCCGCCATGCCAGCAGGTAACATTGTCCGACGTGGGGTAGGGATAAGGAAGGGGTGGGCGGCAGTTTGTGGCGGCTGTATGCATCTCTGCATGATGTGCATCACCAAAGAGGTAATTAGAAACGCGATTTATACTTGCTTAGTTGACATTTCGAATTCGTCGCAAAATAATCTATAGTATAGCGTTTCTCGATGCACCAGAATGCATTGCTGGAGTCGCCCTAAATACACTTTTTTGTTATATACTTATGCCAGCAGGAGTATTACTACCGATGTGCGGTGCTCCTATTTCGTGCATCCTATAGCCCTGACTGGCTAGTGAACTATATTTGACTCTCCGCCTTGCCGCATTACGTCACAAACTCAAGAAGGGATTTATTTTGTCCTCGTACTTTACTTTGTTGTTGCTAGGATGTAGGAGTCGGACAAAGAATTACCAGTTCAAGTTATGAAAACAGAGCGGATAAAGAAGGGCGCATATTTTAAATCTCGAAGGCTGCGCGCGCGTGCAAACAGAGCAGACAAAATCTTGCCATGCGTAATATCCAGTCGCCATCTTTCATTGATTCCGATGGCGGCCTGCAAATACCGCCGCGCAAGTTTTCGCACGTAATGCAGTCGTGATGAACGTAATTAAAAGTACGAAAAACAGGAGGATTTTCTCGTCGTTGAAATTAACTCAACATAGTCTCTCAAGGCGAGCTTTTGCCGGAGAAACCCGTGCGCGCACACTTTTCACGATCGTCATCTTTGCCGTTCTCCCTGAACACGCTTTATGTCTACGCGTATGTTGTATAGGTGCTAGTTGTATGTAATACTTATGCAACTATGCATTAATTATGGCTACGCGAATGGACACACGCTGAACACGTTCATGACGGTACGGTTCGTTTGCTAGCTCTATACATACATACGTACATACATACATACATACATACATACATACATACATACATACATACATACATACATACGTACATACATACATACATACATACATACATACATACATACATACATACATACATACATACATACATACATACATACATACATACATACATACATACATACATACATACATACATACATACATACATACATACATACATACATACATACATACATACATACATACATACATACATACATACATACATACATACAGTACACACACGCGCACACACACCTATAAAAATACAATTTGACAAAAATACGTATAATAATAACAATGGTGATTATAACGATGATAATAATACAGTATTACACATGTAGTAGTGACCATAGTCTTAACATTTG